CGAGGTTCTGTGTAGTCTATTGTGACAAACAAAGATGTTATGACGACATATTTTGTCATTACAGTTGTCATAATCTGGTGATTTTGGTAGAATTTTTCGTCATATTACACTGTTATATTTTGTCATAACTTTATATTGTGACGACTCTATTTTGTAATAACTGAATATATGACGAATATAATTTGTCATAACTGCATATTATGACGAGTATAGATTGTCAGGAAAGGTGGTTTTAACTCATTGTTTCCTGCATTGCAACCTGATAATGGAAAGATTACCAAAGATCCAAAACATTACAACCATTTCCATAGCAGTCTAACTCCTTGTTCACCATAACCAAACATTCCAAGTTTTCTACCATGACACAAAACATTCTAACTCCTTTGTGGATCTTGGGCTCTCCTTCGGTCCATACTTCACCTTTTTCTTCAGGACCTTCTGAACAATCTCACGGCTTGATACAAGCTTCCCCTCTGCCTTTGATTCTATCCAAATGGACTGCATCTCCAGCTAGACATTGAACAAAAATGTTAATAATATAGGTCACATGGTTTGCTATGAACTAATCATATGAAACAAGGCAATTCATGACAATGAATTCACATAGTTTTGCCTAGGTTGTTCGGAAAATCCTATCTATCATACCCAGCAGCTGAAATCTATCACAGGTTGAGACAACCCTGTTACCACACAATTCGACCAAATGTGTTCCTCGTCACAAATTGCTAAGTCAGCTCATACATTTATCTTCAAGCACCTATAAGCAATTGCTTTAACATCAATTCCTGCACAATCAGTGGTAAGAACACCATAACCCATTTACCTGGAGACCCTTCTTAGCTGCCTTCCCTTCCCTTCTTATTGAACTTTCTTTAACTTCAATGATCCCATCCATTGATTAGCACAATTCACACTCTTCACCTCGAACCCAACCTATAATTCCCAACCAACCAAATTAACTTCTACTTACACAAACCTAGTACTTGTTAGAAACCCAAAGTAACTAACCCTCTATTTCCCTTTTGTACATCTCTCTGCATCTCTCCCTATCACCCATCAAGAACCCCACGTATGTCCAGGGAGAGAAAAGGGACATTTACATCAAAATTGTGACCCATCTTATCTAAATATAATATATTAAATTCACTAATGGAATGGGTAATTTGTGTGTTAGGTGGGGAACTTAAATTCCTTAGCTTCTTGAGGAACACCAGCTTCTTTTTAGAGATAAAAGCTTAGCATAACACCATCAGTAGTAGTTATCTATCTACTACAGTACTCTTACACATACTATGCATAAATGAAAATTGATTAAAGGCACATACCTAATCCTCCACAAACTCAAGCTATTGTTGAGGGAGTTCCAGAACCAAAAGCATTTTAGAATGGTGATTTAAGATGCTACCAACCTCTTGGCCTCCCTTCAATTGTCATGCTCCTCCACTTCCTCAGATAATTCAATGGCTTCATCTATTTGTGAAGCCATTTTCAATTAACCTGAATAACATAACATACCAAAATTACCACTAGTTTATAGACATATGAATAAAGGGATGCACACATCAAGCCACTGTTCACATTTAGCAAATCCAAAATGCAAAAACTCCACACAGAACAAGGCATGCTGCATATAATGACCACAAAGACTCCTTACAAATCAAGGGCACCGCATCTCTGTCTTCAAAAGCTTGAAAGGATTCAAACAACAAACAGGTCTAGAAAACCACAATTTAACTCAAGCTATTTTACACTAAAAGATAAGCAAGCAGACTTGAGAAGCCTATTTCCAACCGACTCTGCTATTTGAATTCTAGTTAAAGCAAGATTCCACCACATCTCAGAGAGAAATATACAGAGGGAAACTCAGGCTATTTGACTTCGAATTAAAGCGAGATTCCATTACATTCTTCTATCGTAAACACACCCAATATACAAAAAAAAAATCCCCAGAACGAAAGATGAGACAAGTAAATCAAACCCAGATGAACGAAATCTCAGAGAGCGAGATACAAGGGAAAAGAAGAACCGAGAAAACATAGAGGGGGCAAGATCTAGAAGAGAAGAAGATGGGGAAACCTAGAGACCAGCACGAGAAGAGCGAGAGGTGGGTTTCTTCTTCTCTCAGTCCTTGTCCTTGTTTTCAATTTCTGAAGGTGGGTCTAGAGTTTCCAGAGAATCCACAACCACAGGGTTCGATGGTCGGGAGAAGGAGAAGTTGGCGGCGTCGGGGTCGATGGTCGCTGATCGAGAATCGGTAGTGTAGGTAGGCGGCGGCGTCGGGATACAATGGTGGAACTGGAGTCTGGAGGTTGGAGAAATGACAGGCTCGTTTAGGTCGAACTGTCGATGGATGAAGAGAACCCGTTTGGGTTTGTTTTGGTCCCATTTGATAATTTTTTTTATTATTAATTTTTTGGGAGTAATGAAAATTTAGTTGGGGAGAGGAAATTTCAAGTTTTGGGCGGGCTGAAAATTTGGTTCTAAAAATTGGGAGGGATTGAAAAGTAGATAGTTAAAAATTGGGCGGGACCGAAATTTGGGTGGGAAAACTGAATTGTGACGATATAATTTGTCACTTTTGTGTCCTTTACATTTCGATATGGGATGCCTATTTTGACAAACTTAATTGTGACACGAACTTTTTGTCACATTACTCACTTTAAATGATGAACTATTCTGACAACAAGAAATTTGTCACTTTTGAGTCTCTTACATCCCGATATGGGACGCCTATTTTGACAAAATTAATTGTGACACGAAATATTTGTCACATTACTCACTTTAAATGACGACTTATTCTGACAACAATTTTTTTTGTCACATTAGGCATACCAAATAGGACATATATTATTTTTGTCATATCATCGTACCTATTGTGACAAACAGAAAATGACAAAATAAAAATTTTGTCCTAAGAGGCCGAATTTGTTGTAGTGTCACCAAGCTCCAATGATCATAGTCACCGTCGAATTTGGGAATGCCCACTTGGGCAAAGCTATGATCACTCATAATCTATTCTTTCAGAGCTCTCACCAGGAAAAAATGCAAAGACAACCTCACAGACTCTCGTGTTTCCCTTTAACCCAGATCAAAACGATTTCACACACAGAACTCTCTCTTGGTTACAGCCTGCGATTGCTCTGATACCACTATGTGAAAGCAATTGGAGGCAAACTGACAATCTTATTCATTGATAGGAGATCAAGCTTTATACACAGGACTCATAACAGAAAAGGCCTCCAGACTCGGCAATGATACTCACAACTAACTACTGGATCCCTGGAGATTAGCTCCAAGCTAACAACCTTGCTCTGCCAACGTAAACCTTCTGCAACGGCTAGATTAGCCCGAGGGACCCTTACAGACTCAAGACAAACAATAGGGACTAAAACAGAAAGACTCCAAACGACACAGCTTAGTAGGGGTGGGCAACCGGTTCGGTAAACCCGAACCGAACCGAACCGAAACCGAATTAAACCGAACCGAAACCGAATTAATGCTATTCGGTTCGGAATTCGGAAGGAAAATATGGATAGTTCGGAAACCATGGTTCTCTCAACCGAACCGAATTTCCGAAGTTCCGACCGAAAAACCGAAATACTATAATTACAAGTTCAAATGATGAATTTTTATGTTTGTAGTTGTTTTTAGACTTAAATATTTGAAATATTTTATGACTTATGTGTTGAAAAGTTTGATTTTATCATTGATGATGCATATAATTACATATTTATTGTTTATATTAGGGGTAAAAATAATTTAAAAGTGAGAAGATACAAGTAGTTTAACAAATTCGGTTTTGTGTGAAAAACCGAACCGAACCGAATTATAATTCGGTTTAAACCGACCGAACCGAATTATAATTCGGTTCGAATTCGGTTTGAGGTTTGGGAGAATTCGGGGACCCGGTATTCATAATTTCGGTTCGGTCGAAACCGAACCGACCGAATGCCCACCCCTACAGCTTAGCAAACAATTAACTCTTAAAACTCAAACGACACAGTTTTGGCTTCAGCACTTTCCTTCTCCAGAAAGAATTCGGATTCACCAACTCTTCAGCAACTCCATCACGCAGCAACTTCAATCCTTGCTTTAACATACAGTACAAGTTGCAATTACAACCTACAAGTCAGGCATAGAGCAACTTAGACTGGTTTGGATCATGTTTAGACCCGAACCAATCCTTTCTAATCCAATCCAAAATCTACATAGAAATAGAGGGGTGACAATTACAATCTCAAAGAGCCAATCGTATTGTGCCAAAATAACATATGAAATAATAAGAGCCCTTCATATCTTGGAAGGACATATATAAATATCAAAATCAAAGCCCTTCTCATCGTTACCCAACAGCTTCAGAAGACCTGCTCTGATACTATGAAGAATTTGTATAACGCAATAAGGAAAACAAACAAGACATGACACAAATTTACGTGGTTCTTCTCATTCGGTGTGAACGAGCTTACTCCACGAAGAAGTTTTGCTATCTCAGATTTTCATTAGGGTTTTCGGCAGCCATCTTACACAATACATATACTTGGCATCAACAAGAAACCCGAGTTAGGGTTGAGCAAGTGAAAAGACCAAAATAACCCCATGTGTCCGCTATTGCAAAATATTATTTCCAAAAAAAATCATTGGTTATTCATATACCCTTCATTTATGCACGCCTCCCATCTCCCCTTCTTCTCAAAACTAGCCTAGTGTTTTGCACATTAAAATTTTGTGCCCTATCTTTTCCTTATATATATATAAACACACATGGTTTCATCTTCCCTCATTGTCACTGGTAGAAATTATATTGATGATGAGCTTCACTCCAAACACCAATATCCCATGAATTTGTCTCCCTCTTCCTCTTCCTCTTCCTTGCATTAAGAACCATCTCATCACAAATTTCCATCCCTCTTTTTGTCTCTCAAACTCGTACTAATTCGTTAATCAATACAAATTCATTAATTCTTTGTAATACTCAGATGGCTGCTGCTGTTGCTGCGTCTCCTTATGCTACTGCAACAGTAGCAGTTAAGCCATTCGGCACCGCTGATTTCTTCTTCGGTCGCAGCGCTCCCCGGCGGCAGCATCTCAAGGCCATGCTCAGAGCTCAATGCAGGTTCCCAGGCCAAGGTAGCGTAATTGTTCACCAAACCGTAATTACGTCTAAAAAGATGAGCATTAATTGAGTCAATCTGCCCAGCTAATCAATTACTATATATTTTGGTTCAAGTTAGGGTTTCTTCGTATTGAGATGGAAATGATTTCTCGAATTTATTAATCAGGTGATGACCACGACGAGTGGCCGAAGGACGCGGTGGAAGCAAACTTGAGCGTTCTGAGGGAGAGGATTGCGGCACTTCGGATGAAGGAGCGGCAGCGGCAGATGGAAGATCGGGGTGATGTTAATAGTCGCCACTTTCCCGGCCGATTCCCGGCGGCGGTCAAGCGGAGGCGGCGGCGGCGGGAAGATGGAGAGGGAAACGTGATAATGGGAGTGGTGGCGGTGGTTTCCTCCACCTTGGGATTGACGTGGCTCGCTGGTACTGGCTTGCTGTGCGTTGTCTCGTTCCTCTCTCATCATTTCGGCAAACACTTCTGAATCTTCCCCGATTCTCCGCTTCCTCGCTCATATTGTGACCTAATCGTACAAATCTCGACTCGTACTTTCCCAGATATTAAATGATTTATTAATGGAAAATAAGAATTACAAAGCTACTTGATGGCGTGGCTATTGAATGTGCTGCTAGTGATATATATATGTTTGTGTTTAGTGTTTACGTCTATGATATGTATTTCGAGATACTTAGGCGAACAAAAACTTTTGGTTATTATTTTTTTTATTAAATTAATGTAACACCTTAGGCGAATCCCACATCGACAAAGCACGGGAGAGATCCATGGTTCATAAGTAGGAAACCGACCTTAACTGACAAGACGCGTTTTGGGGTGTAATGGAGGAGTTCTTGTGAGAACTCCGAAGTTGAACGTGCTCAGTGTGGAGCACTACAAGAATGGGTGACCTTATGGGAAGTCACCCTGAATTGCACCCCAAGTCGAAATCCGTGCGGGTGTAGAGGCCCAAAGCGGACAGTATCTTGTCGGGAAAAGGTTCGGGGTGTTACAATTAATCTATGGATTGGGTTTATAGCAAGTAAAGTTCATGGTATGGCATTTTAATCATACGATTGTGGTTCAATGATATTTTACCAGAACAATACCATTTTAAAATAAAAAATATTTTTTTTGAAAATACATGCACCGGCAAATTATTCATAATACATGAGCAATACCAAAAATATCGTACAACAAATATCTGACTTTGAGCATAATCAACTAATTGAAAAGGGAAAAACAACAATTAGCGGACTGAGGATCATGAAGCCAATATCAATTGGTTGATTTTTTTTTTTCCGAGACTCGACTTCAGATCGGCGTGGATTTTAAAAGTTCACAATGGTTCAAGATGGAACTCTCTCTGGATGAGAGGATTTAACATTGGCTCCCTTGGAGAAAAGTTATTATTGTGAAACCGTTAGGAAAAAATTTGAGTTCTTTAATAAAAACTTAGTGAAAAAACTCGAAAAGAATAAAGCACTAATATTTACAATCACTGGACGGGCATAGTATGTGAAAGATGGAGGGACGACCGACGATGCCGGCTGAGGGGCAAAGATGATAGCTGAGTAGGCAGGCATCCCGACGCTGCTTGAGAGTCATGGAAGAAGAAATATTCGAGGTTCGAGGAGTTCATGACTGCACATAGACAACGAAGACACAACTGAGGGCCACGACGACATATGAGGGGAGACGATGTCGGCTAATTAAGGGGTGATGACAACCACTACGACTGCTCGAGAGTCGTGTAGAAAGCAGAGGGCTCGAGGAGTTCAAGCGTTGGAGTCGATTTTCGATTGGGGATTAGGTTAATGCATTTGACTTGTTTTGTTTATTTCTTGTGCGGTTGGAGTGATGATTAAACCGTCGAATACGAAATTTCCCCCACAGAATACCATTGTTTCATTATCAAATTTTCACTATACAGCAGTTCTACAAAGAAAAAATCAAATTACTAGAGTTTGGTGCGGTTCGCTTTTCTCAAAAGCGAACAGATATATTATATATCCGGAGTCAAAGGATAAAAAAAATAAGAAAATTTCTATGCTCACCAAATGGAAATGATGAGATGCAATCACCTTATTATACATAGGGATGGCAATGGGGCAGGTTTGCCTAAACCATCCCCATCCCCATCTTCAAATACCCAAACTCATACCTGCCCCATACCCATGCGGGGGAATGTTTTGCAAACCCATCCCCATACCCGTGGGTTTCGGGTACCCATGGGTAATACCCATCCCCGTACATCCAACATTATTATACTTAAAACTTACAAGAAAAGTTTTAATTATAACCATAAACAAACCTATTATATCATGAAGTCAACAAAACACGGTCATTTTCTAAATACGATTCAAAGAATATGATCCTAAAACATCCATTAATACATAAAATAGACTATAATAATTTTTAAATTATTATGCTCTAACTCTTGATACATTTACTAAGTAATAATTAACTAACATAATCTTGTTGACAATGGGGAAAGTGAAAGAGTGGAAGGAGAATTGAGGGAAATGAATAAGGTTTTGATTAAGGTGGTTCTCCAATTGCATTTCTACTATTAATTTTCTCGAGTTATCATCATCATCATTGATAGATTACAATTTAATCCACATATTTTTTTATATGTGAAGAAATTCTCTTGGTGGGGCGGGTATGGGTATAGGTATGGGGCGGGGGAGGCTAAAACCATACCCGCCCCATACCCATCAAACTTTTTGCGGGTTTTACCCATACCCGGTCAAAGCGGGGATTCCCCACGTTGACTGGATCGGGGGCGGTCGGGTACCCACGGCCATAGGTTTGATTGCCATCCCTAATTACACACCATTCAAAACATTAATTAATAATAAAAGGAAACGAGATTTCAATACCAGTCAAAATCACTGCAAGAATGACCTCTCGCTATTTTTGGTATCATCCAACCAAATCGTAACACTGTCCTTTTTTTCTTTCTTTCTCTGATGGAGACGACTGAAGAACCGATTCCTATTTATGGAAGGAAAGGCTTTTGGTTGGCAGGAAAACACGTCAGTTTCTCTCCTCCACGATCGAGTATCCACCATGCAATTGCAAATGCAACAACCAGCCAATGATAATGTGATGGTGAATTAATTGAATAGAGAGAGTTTCTTTCTTTCTGACGACGACAGTGCATGCAGTTGAGACGTAAATATAGACGATGGATCTCCGAACTGTTGTTTTCCTAACACTGACATTATGTCGCAAATGTAACAACAGAGCCTTGGCCACAGTAAACAGAATAAATTGCTTCCCTAAATGGAAAGTTCATGCGCAGTGAAAAATTAGTGGAGTTCAAAATTCCCGCCAGTTAAACGAGAAAAGGCTTCAAACAAATTCATCAAGTTCTTGGATGGCGAGCAACTCTTTTGGAGAGGTGGTTAGTTAATAAAAATAAAAATAAAAAAATTGATTTTTAAAGTTTAAAATTTTATTATTTTGACAATTAATGAGTCACTACAATATTTTTATTCTGAAATGTAGATATGCGAAATATACATTCGTCTGTTATTTCGGCACCCAAATCTTTACAAACGTACTATATAACAAAAAATTAATTGATAAATTGATCTCTAATATAATTCTGATAATCGTTCTTGATTGACTTCATAGAAAAAAAATCATTTCACAGCTGAAGTTGCAACAAATGTGCCCGATACAATTAAAGGAGATGTGTGAAGGATATATCGATCATGCTTTCGATTTTTCGTAATGACTAAACATAAATTTTTACTTAAATCTCGGGGTGGAAGTGTGTCTGTTGACACACCTCTCCCTAAACTAGCTACGTCCCTAATCCTCATTATTTATTATAAAGTCATACTTTCGACTGAAGATTAACAAAACACATCTAAAACATGTTGATCCCCTAAAAAAATCGAATTTTTTCATAAATGTCAATATTTTGAAATTAGTAAACTTTTATTTTCACTCGTTAGAAGCATTACTATTCTATCTGCATTTAATTTTAACTCAAACTAGAACTATTTTCCCATAATTGGGGAGTGATAAGGTGCTACTTCTCAATTTCCACAACTAGACATTTGTTGAATTAATTTTTTAATATTCTGCAACTAGTTGAATTTGGAAGCAATAATGTTTCATGTTAAGTGACTTGCTAGATTGATAGAATTCAGGGTGAGGCTTGGTTGCATGAGCTCTTGTTGATCTGCTGACTTGTGGCGGCGTTGCTGTTCTTGGTTTGTTGGTTCGTTGATCTGCTGTGTTGTGGCGGCGATGCTCGACTTAGTGAGGTTGCAGGTCGATTTCCGTGGTGGTTCATGGAGTATGCTTGCTGCATAATTGGTGCGAGCTGCTGTGGAGGTTTCGTGACGAGTGTATGTTTTGGCGGACGGGTAGAGGCTAAGGAGTTTGTGTCGTTTGTGTATTGTGGTTGCGTGTTTGGTGTGTTAACTAGGTAATTTGGCCTGTTTTCATTGCCTTTCTGTAGGTCCGCTCTGGTGTCCCTTTGGCTTTGGTCTTGTCCTTCTTTCGTGGTTGGGACTCGATTGTTCCTTCGACAAGTAGGAGTGGTGTGGTCCGCTTTTCTTTGTCGATTTTTGTGTGTCTCTTATTTCTTTTCGTTTTTAGTTCGTGGCACTGTGAGATCAGTCCTTGTGATCTCCTCTGCATGTATAGTCCTTTGTTTTCTTTCTTTTTTTTCTAGCAATAAAAGTTTATCGCCTTTATATAAAAAAAAAGTGACCCGCTAATTGAAGGTTTTAGCTGTGTTGTAATTCTTTAGCAAGAGTTCATTGACGTTGCTAGCTTTCTTAAAACTAGGAATTACAATGTTTTTTTGGAGGGTTTAGGGAACCCTAGCTAATGCACAAATAATTCTTGATCTATAAGCATTCTGTTTTTTGTTACTCGATCTAGAAAACCTTATTCCCCTTCTTCAATTTTGTTCTTCATGTCAGCCCGATTTCTAGCTTGGCATTGTCACCACCAGGATCCGTCCACGGCGGCGCACTTCAGTTCTATCTTCTCTTTTTTCTCTCTGACTCGCCGTAAAGAGAGTTCTGACAATTGTGTCCTCGTCATCCCTCATATTGTCCAACAATTAGGTCCAAATGGAGTTTAATTTTGAATATGGAACCGCCGTTTTGGTGCGATTGGGAGAAATAGTTGGTGCAATTGAAAGTTAGATACGTGCACAATTATACATTTTTATCCTCTATACCTTGGTCGTTTCTTGGCCATTTGGATGGAAAACACCTTTATATAGTCGATCTATATTAAGTGCTATTGTATCATTCAAGTCCCGGATGAGATTTAGTGACGAATTTCGAGATGATTGGAGGTCAAAACAGGACAAATTAGGAAGTCATGCCATATGTACCGTTAGGGGTGTACATTGGTCGGCTGGTCCGGGTTTAGACATTTTAATCACCCGACTCATGCACTACTGTTTGAGAAATATTAAATCCAAATCCACCCAAAAAAATTTAAGCCATACGGTTTGTTTCTAATTGGGTTGGGTCGGGTTGGCGATATTTTTAAGTAAAAACCCAACCCAACACAAAATATGTAATTATTCTACACCATAAAAATATTTTATAACTAATTAAAAATTCAAACGAATAAACTG